TTTATTTATGCGGGTCTGAAAGGAGGTTGCAGGACTAGTCGTGTACTCCGAGAATGGCTATGCCATTTAGAATGCAAAGGTCGCTATCAACTCTTTCAGAAGAAGTCCAAATAGGTTTCCTTTCATCTGAAGAGATATTGGTCGGTGGTTGGTACACCGTCAGCGGCAGCAAATGTGAGTAGAATCTCACCGTTTAACATGTTTCAATGGGGGGAATTAAGAATTAGTTATGAGAATTGGTTGCAATGTTATGACTGGAAGCAGTCGTGAGTTCAGTGCATAATAAATTACTTCGAACCTATTAGTCATTGGCATGCCCCACGCGTGTCAAATTCAGTCTGCAGAAACAGCCCCAGCGGCAAAGCTTGTGCCCTAATTTGAAACTGCAGGTAGGACACGGGAATAGCAACCTCTACTCTGTAATGCAGGTGGTCTCGCACCAAATCCCAGGGAGGTTAGGACCAGGGTTAAGGTTAGGGTTAGTGACACGGTTAGGGCCAAGTTCGGCGTTAGGACACGGGAATGAGTACCATCAGTATTACGTGGGGGTCCCGATTCACCTGTGATTCCAAGGTGTTTATTGAAAATAAGCGAAAAATTTCGACATTTACATAAGTAGGTATGGCAGAATATTAGTTCCAGTTAGTCAGACCACAATCCCAACAATAGATCCGGCAGCCTCAGAACTAGGAACATTGAAAGATCCGTCTCACAAGCCTTTCGTCGTCATCTAATTCTCCCTTTGTTAAATGAGAAAAAAAGCCTGTTCATTGATGACTTGGACTGAGAGAGCCACTCCCTTCCGTATGTCTTTACCGAGCTCAATCGGAGGCACACTAGCCTTTTAAATAACTCTCCAACCGATAACGGACACAAATCCAGGCTCATTTATCAAAAGATATTAGGCTTTCCCTATTTGCCTACCCACCGATTCCCAGTCTCTCTCTCTCTCTCTCTCTCTCTCTTGGGGAGATTCCGACATTCTTCCTGTCTTTAATAAAGGTCTGTTGATCGTGATGGGTCAACAAGCGAGGATTTTACAATCAGAGGTCAAGGATGACAGAGTTGTTGGACAAGCTTTTACTGAGGCAGATGCCGTATAGGCAGCTCAGCAAGCAGTAACAGTAAAAGTTTTCACCAGGCAAGTATGTGTGGCGTTGAAGTATTTAAGCCCCGGCGCCTAGTGCGTATGCCTCTGTCTGAGCTGAGCCCACCTACAGCCAATCATCGAAGGACGCAGTGCTGATTGGCTTTGGGCTTTCGCCAGGCCATTGCGGGCGACCACATGGGAGGACTGTCACAGGTTCTTGCTCCGATTGCAATCGTTATCGTGGAGTGCATAAATGCAATCTTTGACCAAGCTTAACGAAAAGACGAATTTCAGCAAAATTTTTAATTCAAGTCTGATTAATTATTTTTTTAAAGTCTACACAGGTGGCCTTGCAATAAATTGCCGGGGATGGGGGAATACCTATTCTACTGTCATAACTCTAACCGTACTCTAGCAACAACCCTCATAACCCTAAACTTCATAACCATAAACGTAATACTATCCCTAACTCACACATTAACGCCAACCCCAACCCCCCTGAAATTTGGTGGAGCAGGGACGGTGAGTTTTGCGTGAGTTCGTTTATAGTGACAGTAGACTTACACAGCATCTACTGCACGCTCTCTTCCCCACTTCCCACCTGGACCCGGTGTCAAGACAGAGTCAAGAAGACGAGAGGTGGGGGAGGGCGCATGTGGCTGGTGCGGCCGGAGCAGCATCTAGGCTTGTCCCCATATCCCCTGGTCCACACAGCAAATGACCAGGATTTTTCACCAACAACAACAACAACACCCCAACAAGGGCCAGCACGACGAAGATGACTGGCAACCATAGCCACCCCCTTTATATCCAGCGGGAGCGCAAGCGCATCTACCGGCAGGGGACCAGATGTCAGAATACTGCCAGCGCATACCAGGCTGCGAGGGCCATGTTTGGCTGATACTGGCATAGCAAACGCCTGCAGACCTTTTGACCTAGAATGGCGACACGTGGTCCTGCATATAGTCTGGGCCGTCACCCTTCAAGGTTAGGTAACCAAACAGTTTTCGACTGAGTCGTTCTTTGAGAGGCACTACCCACAGTGTACGCAGACCCTCCTTGCATAGGTCACAGATCGCTGGAGAAGGAGCCCCTTCAGCCTGGCTCCCAGCCCACCACTCAACACAAACTCTCAAACACAACTGGACTGAGTTGGGGCGTCAGTCGGCTCCATTCTGAGCGATGGCGCTCGACGCCCCGTGGCAGTCTCAGACTCCGATCGTGCATGCAGCTGGGGGGGCCGCATAGAGAAGGAACCGAGACGCATGCTTCGCACTTATGTGGGAGATGGCGATTGGGTGTTTGAGGTGGATGAGAATAATGTGCGGTGAGATGCTGATGGGGGAGGATGTGATGGTGTGGGTCAGTCGGCGGTTGTCTACCGCAGGTTTTCGTGGACGCGCATGTGGCTTAAGAAGCCCATGCGGTGCATGAATGTGCGAGTGCAATGTGGACGGTGGAGGCGGATACGGCGAGTGTAGGTTGGTGCTCCAGGCAGTAAGGACACCAGTCTCTGTGAGATGAATTCGCATGCGACCAATCAGGCCGATGCACGAGGCGGGGCAGTGCGGACATGAGAAGTCGGTGGTGTCGGTATCAGCTTCGGCGGCAGTGTTGGGCGCTCCAGGCAATGAAGTGTGGGTTGGGCTGAGCATAGTGGGTGTGCAAGATGCACTGAGTGTGATGGGGCTGGTCGGCACGCTGGTCTGCGGAGCGTGGGCGGGGCTAGGCGTGTGTATCAGGGCTGCGACCAATTCCGTCATCCTGGATACGCGTTTGGCCGAATAAGCCCATGCGGTTCAGGAATATGTGAGGGCAATGTGGACAGCGGAGCGAATGCGGCAGGTGTAGGTTGGTGCTCCAGGCACTGGTTCGCCAGCCTCTGTGCGATGGGTTCGCAAGTGAACGACCGGGCGGACGTGTGAGGTGAAGGCGCGGTTACACTGAGGACAGATACAGACCAGACCCCCACCACTAGCGTCGACGGTGGTGTTGTTGGTGTTTGTTTGTGTGTAATGCTGGTGTGCGTGGCAGACGCCATAGCGACAGACGTTGAGACAGTAGGGGGGAGAGGGAGGAGGATGGAAGTGGTGGTTGGGGAGGGCAGCCAGAATTAGTTGGCGGCGTAGGAGGCGAGGGAGAGGTGGACATAGAGACGACGGATGGTGCGGTCTGAGTGCTGCAGTTGGTTCAAAGGTGTCCAACAAGTCCAATTGGCGCCCGGAATGTTTGCTGATACCGTGGACATGTCTGGGACGGTTGGGCGTTGGCGTTGCGAGGTGGGCGCAGCCAAGATCTGCGTGCTTCTCGTTTGGCTTTTGCGACGATGGTGCAACTAGCATCGTAGATCGCTCCACCTGCCTTAACTGTCCTCAACTAGGTCATCCGGTCTCGGGCGAGACCTTCCCAGTTGGCAGGGTTGATCTGCAAACTCTTCAGGGAGGTCTTCAGAGTGTCCTTACATCGGCGGATTTGGCCTCCTCGGTGGCGTGAGCCTGTGGCGACATCTCCATACAAGAGTCGTTTGGGTTGGCTCTCGTCGTCCATCCATACGAGGTGGCCGCTCTACTCTAGCTCCGGTTGTCTCAACATAGAGTAGATGCTGAGTGTTCCCGTTATCTCTAGCACATCCGTGTCTGGGATCCGGTCTTGCCACCTCAGTCTCGGTATTCAACGGAGACAACTGCAGTGGAAGTGATTGAGTCTACGTGCCTGCTCCATGTACACCGTCCAGGTCTCTGCTCCACAAAGCAATGTCGGTAGGATGACGGCCTTGTACATCTTCAGTTTATTGCTAAGTTGAAGAATGTGACGATTCCATGCTGTGTTTCGAAGACGACCAAAGGCATAACTGGCCTTGGAAATCCGGCGGGCCACTTCGTCGTCGATCTTGGTGCTGTGGGAGAGGGTGCTGCCCAGGTACGTGAAGTTGTCCACCACTTGCCGATGGGTTCCGCTCACACTGATTTGCGGGACATTGTGGGCAGTGTTGGGCGGCGTTTGGTGCATGACCACCATCTTCTCCGTGTTGACGACGAGGCCGGAGTTATCGCAATCGACAGTGAAGAGACCCATATTCCCTTGCATGCACCCTCCCCAAATGGTGGTTAGGGCGCAGTCATCGGCGAAAAGAAGTTGGCGGGCGATGGTTGTGGATACACGCAACTGGAAGTGCATCCTCTGTTGACTGAGGAGTTGGCCGTCCGTTCTGTAGGCGACGCGGATCCCGGGGCGTTCGTTACGGTAGGCGTTTAACAGCATGGCAGGGAACATGAAACTGAAGAGAGTAGGTATGAGGTCACAGCTCTGCTTCACTCAGTTGGTCACTGCAGATTCCTCTGATTCAGATCCGTTGTCCGTGACACGTGCCATCGTGCTGCTGACGCACGATCTGAGCGAATCTTTAGGGACAGCCGAATTTCTGCATGATTTTCAACAATCCCTCGTGATTCACTGTGCCGGTGTTCTTCGTCAGTTCCAGGATGGTAGAGTGGAGGTGGATCCGCATCTCCTGGCACTCCTTTTACAGTTGGTGGACGGCGAAGATGATGTCAGTGGTCCCTGAATGGCGGCGGAAGCGGCAGTGGCGTTCCGGAAGAAGACCTTGTTCTAGGCGATTGGTCAGACGACTGAGAAGGATGCGGGAGAATACTTTCCTGGCAATGTTCAGCAGAGGGATGCCTCGGTGGTTGTTGCAGAGCTGGCGGTTTAGTTTCCGTTTGTAGAAGTCAGCGATAGGGGCGTCCTTGGAATCCTGCGGGACTTTTCCTTGACGCCACATCTCCTGGAAGAGCGCTGTCAGATGATCCATGAGTTGGGGGCCATCGTGTTTGTAGATCTCAGCAGGGGTCGCGTCCGATCCGGGCGCTTTTCTGATGGAAAGCTACTGCATGGCCCTGATGGCTTCGTGGAGCGAAGGTGGGAGGTCAAGGTCGACGTCAGTCTCCACATGCAACAGACGGGTTTGAGTAAAAATGCGAGTCGCGGTACAAAATGGATGAAGATAAACCAGCTACTAAGATTCAGTTAGTAGCTACCCAAGTCACTGGAACAGGGTTTTACACTTACGGAGATGAAAAGTTAGTAAGAGTGCCATTCGCACCGTTGGAAAAATCTGTTGCTTTTCACACCTTGGTAAGGCATTTGGTGTCTGCTCAATGGCATTTATAGTAGGACTAACTAAATGTGCTGTCTAGTTTCCTCTTATTAAGACAGGTAACTTTGTGGCAAAAACACTACTCAGTATACAGCCACAACAATCGTGAACAAGTGCACGGTGGTGACCGATAAAGAGCGAGATAACTCGGTCGCAATCGATCAATACGACGTATTGGATATGCTTGATCGGACAGGCGATTGTCAGCTGGTACCTTTTACCGCTGCCTCCACTCCCCCCCCCCTTCCGGAAAAATATTCCCCTGTCGTAGCCCCACAAAAAGTCTAGTGAAGAACTAAATCGCTGTCAAAATCTTGTTCACTAACCCAGTCTTAACCTTAGCTGTGCAGGAACACTGGTCTTTGCCTTACTCATACACAACATTCTGACTTAATTTACCGCTAACTTTAAGCATAACTTTCAACCTCTTACTTGACCTGACCCCAGGTCTAATCTTACAAGCAAACCTAACCCAAATTTCATTGGAAATTGGCTCAAAACCACTCTGACTGCTGACAGACGTCCTGCTTATGGGACTAAATAAGTCATACATATCATACAATTTACCGATTGTGAATGTGAAACCTGATGGTAGTGAGTTAGTAGCGTGCTATAGCATTAACAGTCGATCCATTTTGGCATTAACAGTGTGTTTTATTTAACGCGCCTAGAAACTTTTACAACATTCAATGTCAATTTATCGTCACGCTGCATACTTTAGGCTAAACTGTTTCTTCAAATTCTACTGCGTAATAGACCCGTTTATTACTTACAAACATGACATCTACACAGACTATCCCCAACTAGTGTCATAATAATAATTGGGTCATAGCCTCTAATTCTTGCATTTTGACTTGACCAAATGATCGAGAGATTGGGGATTACATTGAGGCTCGCTTTAGTTCCAGGCATAGGTTTAAGAGTACAATATTTGCGGATAAAGGGGCTGAATACAACAATAAGGATACTGCTGTACTGGGAGTTCATGAGAGACGACAACGACAAATTCGCGTGATATAGCTACTGACTGAATCTAAGTAGCTGGTTTATCTTCATCTATTTTGTACCGCGACTCGCATTTTTACTCAAACCCCAACAGACGGACGATTGCGGCGTCAGAGATGGTGGATGGGGCAGTTGGGGACGCCTCTGAAGTGTACGGCCCATGACTGTAGAATTTGAGTTTTCTCAGTGCAACTTCCCATAGCAGTAATCAGAAGACGAGGTGGCGAGCATACGTAGCTTTCGATAAATTCTCATCGGGCCAGTACGGTTATATAGAAA